GGCCACGGAATGCGACCATTTTGTAAGCTACATTTCGACGAAACACCCACGTGATTTTTCATTCCATGACCCGTACAGTGTCACACTCAGATCTTTGGGGAACGTTTCTTACTCTACATTACAGGGTCTCACTGCTTACAACTTAGCAAAAACCATGAATGATACCATACTTATACAGGTATGGTCAAACGACAGTGTAAACACTTCAAATTGGCATCCATGACAGAGACAGTTCAAGCGTCTGATGTTCATCTCTGGTCTGCAGTCTCCGTAAGATGCGGACAGCCTCACACAACTCCTCACCAAGCTCGAGCAAGACCCAAACATCAAATTGTAGAAGATGGCCGATGAATTCCTGCTAACCCTGAAGCATGGTTTTAGTGTGGTAGAACAGCAGCAGATCGATTTGATGGATGTTACACCGGTCAGGGGAAAAATGTAGGAGTCCAAAAAGCCGCCTACAGCATGTTTGAACGGTGACGTATGATACTACGCATTAAAATGCACGTTTCGCCGACATCGGTGTAATTAATGTCAACCTTTTGGGCAGGAAGCTGGTTTCTGAAGGCCACACAACTGGACTAAAACTGACAATTCCAACAAACGATCCTCGAAGCCACAACAGAGGTAGGCTAGCCGCAGCATTGCTGCCACTCGTCAGATCAACGTGATATCCCGCAGGCGCCACCTGACAGTGAGTGTTAATGGATATCCCGCGACTCTTCAGTTAGACTCTGGATCGGACGTCACCATCATTACACAATCCATTTGGGAAGCAATCGGACAACCTCTAGTTTTGCCAACACAACAAACTGCCCACAGTGCATCTGAAACTACTCTCGGATTGATTGGTGAGTTAGGTTGTTTGGTAATCTATAGTGAGCAAACGGTTGAGTCTATATGTTATCTCACTAATCAGCCAGGGCTGATTATTCTTGGTATTGACTGACTAGATAAGCTCAATCATTGGAGTATTCCTTTTGATAAAGTGAGCAAATTGGCACTGGGTATCAGCGTTTCATTCATAATTATTGACGCATGGATTCAGCACATGATTTCACAGCGGTTGTTTCAGCGATACGTCGTAGTTTTTCAGGACGGTAGCGGACATCGTACCAACATAAAGGCTTACTTATAGTGGAGAACAGATGTTAAAGCAGTTTTTCCTCCAAAACGTCCAGTACGTTATTCTGCCATAACCGGTGTTGAGCAAGAGCTTAATCGTCTACAAATGGCAGATGTCATACAACCGGTCGATTACTCTGACTGGGTTGCTCCCATTATGGCAGTACGTAAGGTTATTGGCTACATCCGTGTATGTGCAGGTTTTGCCACAGGTCATAATATGATCTTTCAGACACAAAACTATCTAGTTTATGGTAGATCAAATCTCATTGTAATCGTCATTAAGTGTTCAAAGGTCATCCCATTGTTGACTTCAATCCCCGCATCAACCTCGATCAGACAGCTGCGCCAGGTTTTCAGGCGAGTTGGCATGCCCGAAACACATGTGCCCGACAATGGATTACGGTTCACATCGAAGGAATTATGCATCGTTGGTAACTAGAGCCGATTCGCACCGCGCGCTTTAGATACTGTGCTGATGTGGACTACTCAAGATATCCGGGGACGGAATTAGAACCTAATAATAGAAGACTTTTGGCAGATGCTCCCAAATCTCTTAGATAAAGTTGTTGAAACAATTCAATATGATACGTGGGGGTGTGTGTGCACTCATTGTGTGTATTAAGAAGTCACACAACTCAGACTTTAATTGAAACATGAGTTCAAACTACTCCTTATCTGCTCGATTATCTCAGCGGTACCTTGATTATGTAAATTCTGAGATTTTAATGTGTCAACAATATCACATGGATCATTGCCTCAGTTTCGGTCAGGAATACTTTGAATTTCGAATTACGTTGGAGTATGATGGAGGGAGTCAAAATCACTAAAAGCCACGAGTATAGTCATTAATTCTGGCTCTGTAGCGTATAGTTAGCCTTGTCAGTTCACTCGTAATCATACAGTAGACGACGCTAAGTGACAAACTCGCTCTAACTGCAACGTAAATGGATCTAAGCAAGTGTAGCGAATCGGAGGCCGCTGCAGAAGAACCTAGGTTCAATGCGTCACTGGTTCGACAGGATGACGGAATCTACATGTGTGTCTGACTAGTTTACAAAGAATTACGAGGGCACTTATAAGGAACGGATAGTACGCAGGAACAAGAATGCACTACCATGATACGAACAGCACTATGACAAAGACAAAGTAAACCGAATGTCCTACACTAAACATTTTCAAATCAAGTTAAGGCAGTAACGAAGATCAATTGTCGGCGAAGAGGACTGGACGGACACACACGAAGAACGTCAAATCGACTGTGACGAGTGAGTTCACTCAGTGAATATATATGGGCCAAGTGCTTGGACAAGACAGTCAAGTGGATCGCAACTGACGGATGCAATCAGTAGCAGATGTAGTTGCCCGTCAAGCAGTTAAGTGTGCTCCGTTTGCTTTGGCTACACTACTGTAAGCGTGCTCTTAGTTTGCATGAACCACTGGAAAACCGCATATGCTCAGCGACGTAATCACTAATGGAAGCTCAAATAAAGTATAGACTGAAACGATTCCCAAGTCAAGTGGACCCAGTTTTCGCTCGTTTTCCTCGTGCTCAGTAAACGACTTGCCCATGAAAGACCGACTTCTGAGACAAGTGACGCGCGTTTTCCATTTGAAAATATTAGATTCTGGAGCACAAAAGCAAAACTGCTAACTTATGCAGCACCAACCGTGATTTTGTTTGATCGACATCATGTTTCGAGGTTGGTATGTTACTGTGAAGTTAAGCATGAATGTTAGAAGCAGAATGTGCGACTTTAGCCTGAAGGCCGTGGCCGTCGTCTTGTTTCTACAGGTTACCTAAATTAAACTACATTCCGCGAACGAGGTGACTTCGAATAAGGGCGCGAAAATTTCTGGACGACCACGGCTCACAGTATGTGCGGAGTAGGTTGTTAGGCTTGGTGTTTGCTGCAGTCATTTTGGGTTATACGCAATCATAAAGCAAATACATCAGGACGGTTTCCAAACCCATTCCAACAGAGTTCCCATAAAACAGACAGAAGCATCATCCAAAATAATCGCACGTCTCTGCATAATGGCAGTGCAAATGTCAGTTGCTGAAAAAGCAGAAGAATGTACGACAAACAGGAGGGAAAGTGTGTGAAATAAATCCGAAAACACATGCATTTCGAGGATGCTTGGATGGGGCGAGGCCACGAAAGGGTGATGACGGTGACGCTTGTCAGTTGGTCAAGGCCAGTTTCCGCTGTTTGTGCTTTTCAAACCAACGATCGAAAGAGGGTACTCGTTGTAGGATGGCACACAGCAAGTTGGAGGGCGTCCACTGATGTGTACGAATTAGTTCAGCCATGGCTTGCTTGGTCTAGAGGTGTACAAAATGGATATACATGTGGGAACAATATGTACAGAATAAGGGTTGTCGCATTAAAATGTGAACCGAACGACCGGATGGTGACAGGCGGCATTAAAGATACAAGTGATTGGAGGATGTAGCATCATCCGCTGCACGACATTCATGTTTGTTAGGTTACATACCACTGACTTTGATGGTGAGACGGCAAGTTGACAATTCAGTTTTAGGTGATATCTAAAATCTCATCACTGGTGCTTACAGTGAAGGTAAACTAAGGCATATCACTTCAAATTAGGAGAGAGAATGTGCAACAACAGCACGTAGTAGATGAGTAACATTTAAATGCGAATTATTTACCCATAAATAAAATTTGATGTGGATAAGAAAATGGGTTAAGTCGAACGACCAACTTGTGTACGTTTGGTATGCAGGTGTTGACAAATTCTACATAGCTGGCGGGAATTTTGAGATGGAACAACTAACTAGGAAAATAAGTAATATATTCCGTAGTATATACGAAACATGTCAACAAAGGAACGATCGTATCCGTATCTGCGAGTCAATGAACTCTATATCCTCCTTCCTCATTGACAATTAAATTCTCTGCCCGTAACCCCACAAGTGATCGAACAAATTCCTCTTTACCATCTCCGGGACATTGAAAGTGGCGCAGAACACCATCACATTTACAAAACCAACTCCATATCCCGACCCAAATAGCAGCATACCAGCCGTCATAAAATTCAGTGTTAAATTGTCTCCAAAACTGATAAACAACTTTGCATCATAGCTGACTACCTGTCGCTTCGCACCTCAGTGGAAGCAATCTCTCATGATGTCGAGACACAAAGGTGGTTCACGAAATGAAACGTCCAGCTGTCGCCTAATAAATTGCACTTCAGCTGCCTCTAATACAAATCCAGAATAGTTCTGTCCAGTTAGTTAGTTATCCATGGTCCCAGATCCTAAGCACGACGTAGAACCGAGCAAAAAGATCTGTCTAGATCTAAGAAAAAGAGGTTGTAGCAATAGAGAAGGGGAAGAAGTGGGTAAACCAGAAATAATGGTATGAAGGATACGAAACTGGCGGATGGGAATTTTGGTAGTTGAAGTAATGCATCTAACGCAGCGGTATCAGTGACTTTTTAACGAAGCATTGTTGCAATGTCTCTTAACACCCGTGTTGTCATGTGGGCAAATAAATCTAATTTGATATACACCAACCCGAAAAATTCGTTGATCAAACTCCTCATAATTTTGAGCTACCACCTTATGGTTTCCTCATGCCAAGCGCATCAGTAGTAACCAGCCCACACAGTTACTAGTTTTTGATTGAGTGCAGGAAGGATTTGACTTAGTTGGAGGAGGCCTATGCTCAATCGGTGCTTCCTTGCGGATTGACATTTGGTTGCTTCCGCAATCAAAATGTTCAATACGAGCAAGCGTGCGAAACAGCAGTGTGGTGAGGTCACTGGTGGACAATTAACATGACCCTGATAAAGCTGCATCAAGCAAACTAATCCATCCACAACCCATTTCACACCCGCTGGTCTCATTAAATGACCAAGACCTTGAAAAGTTATCCCAGTCTCGTAAACACCCAGCAACCACTCCGATGGTGTTGTGGCGGCAAGTAGTACTGTTTGAGAAACAAGTAGCATTGGTAAAACCGGAGAAATCGGACGACAACGGACCATCAATAGTCCAACACAAATGGAATAGAGCAAGATGCGGAAGAAGCTCGAGAAGACTGCGAACGACACCGCACCATGCAACCCCCGGAGACATAATCGTGGCGACACTCCTCAGCACGATGTTGGGTGGGGTAGTGAGTGGCGGAGCCGCCTGGCGGCTGATAGTCGCCGTTTCACTGTAAGGTCTTTCCGCATCTCGTGGGTTATCGCGGTATGACTAGCATAATTACTGCGGCTGATAAAGCACGTGAAATTGGTGCTCTTTGTGTAACCGCTATATACTCGCAATGCCTCGTGGTATGTTGACAAGATAGGCAGGAATGAGATGCACTTCGAAAGTGATCAATACGCGGCAGTTTTTGCAGCATACCCAGTCAGCCTACAAATCAACCATCATACGCTTGCTAAAGCCGACTAAATGACTTTGGAAACCGCGGTCGATGAAGTGATTAGCATCCTCTCATGTCTAATAGTAACGCTCGGAGTGATTTCTAAAAATTTCGTTTACAGATAGGAAGCAAAATGGTGACTGAATCACATGAAATGCTGATCCTCAGCAATCCAAAAATTCCCATTTATTAGAATGAATCAATGGAAGCAGAATCTGAGTAGAGAATTCTTCTCGGCATTTCTCATCAGACTCAAATATTATATGATGACGAGAAAATGCTAAATATGCAGGATTGGGCTGCGAGTTGAACAGAATGTTTAATTACAACAGGAACAAATCAATAAATCAAGGGGTCATTGAAAGTGGCAAATACGTACAGGGGATATCACAGCCGAAGTTTTACGCCACGGTAGAAGTAAAAAACGCACAAACTGTTTTTGTACGCGCAATTCTGGCTTGAGGTGGCGGATGCAGATAACTTCCGCAATAGACAGAAGATGCTTCCGGAATCCGCGCATGAAACGTTCAGGAACAGTATAGATGACTCTAAAATCATTTCCCGTTCCTGCGTGACTGCACTCTGGAAGGTGAGACAAGATGGAACTGTGACTGGACCTCGCTTCTCCTTTGTAAAACCACTTTGTGATGTGTTCGCGGATCCTATGAGATAGGCGCCTCGTGGTACGTGTTTAACCTTTCTAGTATCGTGCTTAGCCGAACACAAATAAATGTGTTATCATTAGGCACTAAGTTTTGCATTCCTTGTAAAAGAAAGTTGATCAGGCTGCATTAGAGGTGCAATTTGAGAGCTTAATGGCACAGGTGCGCGACTTGTCATCAAATTCGCCAGGGGATGTTGAGAACATGTTATCTGGCTTAGTAAACACCTGTCATGATTACTTTAAGACCAGATCAGCCAGTAGTGGTTTTCTTGCAAGCGAACATATGCAGTCACTTAGTGAGTTATGGTTAAACAAAGAGTTAATTATCTCTAAGCCGGATAAAGGTTTCGGTATAGTTCTAATGAATAGAACTGATTATGTTAGTAAGATGCAACATGTTCTTAGTGGTAAACGTAAGTTTCAAAAACTAACAGTAGAAAAGAATAGTGCAGTAGGGTTAGAAAAACAACTGACCGATTTGTTCCGACGAATGATGAAAACGCATGTTATCACAAAGTGCGAATTCGAGAAGCTGACACCTACAGGCGGACATCTACCACGGTTGTACGGCCTCCCTAAAGTAAACAAGGAGGGCGCTCCACTGCGTCCCATACTGGATATGGTTAGCTCTCCGCAACATTTGATAGCTCAATGGATGGTTGAGAAGCTGGAACCGTTGCGTAAAACCGTCTGCACTTACTGCGTGAAAGATACTTTCGAGTTCATTGAGAAGATAAGGGCCGTGAACCTTAACAAACAATGGATGTCACCATTTGATGCGCAGTCGTGGTTTACGAATGTTCCATTGTTGGAAACAGTAGAATATGTCTGCGAAATAGTACGGCAGCTGAATGTACCTATAAATATCTCGGAAAACCTGCTTAAGGAATTGTTACTCAGATGCACCTTAAACGTGCAGTTCACCTTCAACGGGGAGATGTACCGTCAAATTGGTGGAGTTGCCATGGGCCTGGATTGGACCCAGCAGCGCACTGACGAAGTCACCTCGTTTGGTGATGAAGCGTTTGCATCACAACTCCGAAGCCCAAGCTATTTTATTGAATTCAAGAACTGACATATTTCCATATTCAAGTATTCGTTGCCAGACGATATCAACACGGATGAACAGTTTCGATATAGTTCGTCCAATGATTATGACATCATTGAGGTGGGCAGTCACTCCTTTCAATCCGTTCAAGTTCAAATTCAATGGGGACCGGAACGAGTGGATACTCCCGTGAATCTTCCTTCTTTTGCGTACCGTCGGACCGGGAATTTATAGGTCTGTTTGAGATGTTGAAAAGCCTAAAACAAAGACTGCATCACACCATCCAACCAATTACTGCCCACATTTTCCTGCCCAGCAGTCCCTGCCAGGCCGGTTTATGTGAAGTGAAAGAGTGAACCTAGTGTTGAGCATAGTGTGCATAGTTTTTGGCGATATAGCTGGATCGTCATTACTCAAAAGGATATGCGAGTGAACAATGAACAATGATTTATCACGGGTTAACGAGCGCGTGTTCGACAAGTGCTGGGGATGGCTTGAGTGAAAATTAAACTTGTATGGATCAACGAATAAGTAAATCGTCCTTTTAAGCGTTTACCGGTTTAAATGCACTGCTACATAACGATCGTTTGAAATGGGAATCAAAATGGGAATGTACCATTATCGCTCTTGTCCGTAATTTTCAGCTCACAGTTAAATTCGCTAAGCGATTGCATCATGCTGCCGGATGTAATTCTGGCGGTAGATTGGTGAACCCAGTTTCTTCCAAGTACTTTGGCTACGATCAATATATCGGATGACGTATCGAGTTGCAAACGAACCACCCTTCTGTTTATCCGTTCAATTATGTATTTACGGTGTAGCTTAAAATTAGGATCAATTGTTGCAAGCACGTTCTTGAATTTGGCCCATGTCCCATGTAAGCAGCTAATAGATCGGCGTCTTTGGCTAGGTGCCTCGACACGTCTTGTCGTTCGGCATCGACTTTCTTTGTGACCGCGTCGGTTGCACTTTGAGCATCGGTGCTTCTTATGGGAGCGGGAACTTACAAAATGCCATCCGCCACACTGCCAGCACACGGACTGTGGTTTCGCTATCACAGGAGCCGTTGTTCTGGGAGATTGGCTGAAGCAAGTCATTGTGCCAGTAAAATTGTACTTGGATACTGAACGCTCCAGTATGGCTGTATCCTGCCTGTGGTTTGATGAAAGCTGACACATGGTTGTGTGCTGTAGTATAATAACAGGAGATAGTTCATTCTTGCTCAGCAACCTGGTCTTGATATCATTGGCGGAAGGTGACTGGAGGCCGCAAATAAAAATCGAACATTTGAACTGCTCTTTTCTCAGGGTAGACAGTTTAAACTGTTCACACTCGGAACTGACTCTACCCGCATGAATAATGACGTACTTGCCCTCGAGGTACGCTAGTTACACGCATTGAAATCGAGTATTAAACAAGGAAAAACGCTCACTGAACAGTATCGAAAGCTGCTGACGGTTTTGTAAACGTGATTTCCCGGGCGTTTCTCGGCACAGTAAAATTCGAATATCGCGGGTTCTCAGTTGCACCAAGCTACCATAACCATAGCCTGAATCGCCATGCGTCATTCTTGTGCTTCAGTTCGATATCGAAAATGCACTCATGTCTATTGTACCACGCTTCAAACTCCGTCCATCATCTGGTTTATTATGGAACCCTGTACGAATTTTTCCAAATTATTCGGCTGCGTTATATTCCAGGGCCGGAAATGGTGATCTAATGCTCAATAGCCGCAACAAATTCGTCAATAACTGTATATAGGCAGCCTCGAACCGAGTCTGCTTTTGATGCAGGATGGTCTTCCATTACTCTGCAATTCTAAACATATTGTTTAGGCTTACTTCGCCAAAACTGTTGTGTCTGACTTTGCTAGCGTAGAGAGTAGGCCAATCTCACGAAAGGGAAATACGAGCAGGGGGAATACTGGAGCTTATTGCAGACCAAGATGTGAATCGGAAGTGAGTGAAATTACACGGCACAGCCTGCGCTGCTTAGCGTTCGATCGCTCATGTTAGTCGATTAAAAGCAACACTATACTTTTACGACTAAATTGAATCCATAACAGAATCAACCTCCTCCCTAAGAATATTCAACTGAATCCACAATCACATCAAGTTGAATTTAAAGTGGCGCACAAACACAAATGCGTGCCCATCGTCCTGACCAATTGCAAATCAGGGCAAGAGTACTCAGGACATATGCAGCGGTTGGTGCAGCGGTTAGACTTTGCACTCAGCCACAAGCCACGTGATGCACTCGCGGACGTGAAAACAACACGTTAGCTCAGTCACTGTAGGATGCGATGCGGACTAGCACGCGGCATCAATGGATGGTTGAGTAAGTACAGTAACTCCCAACCACTCACTTGTGCGGCATCAAGACACACAACACTGAACTGGGAGTCCGGAGACATTCCATCCGCCTTCACAGTGCTCACTGTTGCGCGCAGACGACCGGACGTAAAATGTGCTCCACAATGAGACAGTATCTATTGCCTTCACTGAAGGTAGCTGCATGCAAGCTAGCAGGTAGGTCCGTCAACCTCACCTTGTTTGACCTATGTTTAGCGGTGTCTATGTGTACAACTGAACGGCATTTGGTTGATTGGTAACATCCTTGGGACGGTATTATATTATTTCTAGTTATTGTATTAATACCGATGATACAATACGAAATGCGCGCAATTACCAGTGATCGTCTTCTCATTGTGTTACTCAAACTATTGAAGGGAACTAACTGTTAAATAAAAACAAATAGTTTATTTCTCGGCGGCGCGAGAGACTGTGACAGCATAGAGACAAATCAATGCTGACGTGAATGAGTTTCCTGAGACCAGTCATACATGCAATTGCAGTGTCCCACTGACTCAAACCGAAATTTAGCCTAGTATGTGAACCGATGTGTGTATCCATTCACACAGGACTTACACCGTGCGGAAAAATTTAACTACGCGTCGGGCCCTAGTTATCTCGCTTGCATGTGTTCACCTGTGGCCACCATACATTATGCCACGTAAGGGCAGGCTCTCAGGGCTTGTTGCAAGTGTCTGTTCAGTTGTTCAAGTGGTCACCAGCTCTTTTCTCTAGTTAGCCCCTGCTTCATTCGAACGGTGGATCAGGTGTCCGTCGCCACCTTGACAGTGCAGTTCACCGTTGCTGAACCCGGCATGTAAGTTCGGCCTGTGGCTGCGGAGTATGAGGCTTGAATCCATGACCTGCCAGCCGGTTAGATCAACCTGTCTCACCTTCTATAGCTGCATCTCATCCGGTCTGTCCGTATAACCATTGGCTTTGGCGATGCACACCGAATTAGCGATCAACACTTCGGGGGTTGACCGCAACTCCCGCCTAATTTCCACGACGAGACATTCCCGCATTTCAAGCTCCTTTCCCGGTATTTTAGAAATGCTGGGCGGTATGCACTAATGTTCCGATTTGAGGTCATAGACCTCAGAAAGTCCCGTTTGGAGCATGTAGAATGCTGTTGAAAAAACCAGAAGCAAACCGTGGCGGTGCGTGCACACCATCATGTAGGGAGGCAGAAGACAGTGGTTGCTCGGAAGAAAAAAGGACCAATAAAACGGCGGCGGACGGAAACGGGAAGTGGCGCAGTGAGGGAGAGAAGACGGAGCAACACTGACTTGACGTAACGAGACGAGAACGGTGCACGAACGAGTCCGGTAGTGAGCCTGAACCAGACAAAACCATCGTTATTTTAACATTCCGGACCAACCCAAAGCACTGTGCATTGCATCCACGTTCAGGTAAAACACGAGGTTTTGAACGACACCCGAACCGGTCGGAATGGGAAGCGTAGAAGCGGAGATACGGAGTGTAATGTGCGGTGAGTACCGCGTCACAATACCCCCAAAACGCATGGAGTTATCGCGAGCAGAAGCCCGAAGAGACGGTGCATTGTGGAAACAAAACGGGACTCATCAATGTACGTCTACGTTGGTGTTGATATAGCCTGTGCTCACGCCAATAAAATTGGTCCTTCATTGCCCGGCGTTGGGGTATCTCCAAGGTGGTGAGATCTCGCCTCAGCCATGGCTACCAAACCTGTATGGCGTATTCCACATGTGGCCGTATGTATGAGCACACGTTGTGGAAAAATCGAGGGTCAAATCGTCCGAGTGCATGCTTCAGGAGGCCCAAGTATTGCATGCCCTTCCTTGACGCCGTTTCAGTCTGATTCGAATATCCAAGGTCAACCTGGACAAAACTCCTAGATCCTTCTCACCAGAAGATGTGTGAAGCTCCTGGTTGCCAAGTTTGTAGGAATGAACCAACTTGTGCCCCAGACGCAGCACTCTACATTTGTCCACCTCGAATCGAACTACATTCTGGACAACGCAGCTTAGCGTTTAAACACTGAAAAAGATATTTATGGTGAACTGCAGTTTTGAGGAAAAGAGCGCCAGGTAACCTTGCGAACGACTTCACGACTTGTTGATACAGCTCCCAGATCTACTAGGAAAAATACATTCATCAGGCTAACCGAATAACCTCTTAGTGGTGTCAGCTGGTCGGTTCGGGTTTACCCAATTCCAACAAATATTTCGGCCGCAGTGTTTCAGAACATCGTGGGTCTTCGTCTGGAAAGCATTTTTTCTATAAAACGCCACAAATGTTCGTTTAACAACACTGTGACGTTTCGCTTCTTCTTAGGCATGAACGAAAACAATCACGAATACGGCGTCACATTCAATAATTCAAGCAACAAAACAACACTCATTCTTGCCCACATGCATTCATGCACACTTAGCACATGGATCCATTTGTCACTTATAACATTATATCGCTTTTATATTAACCAGTCCTTGTTGTATCATCATGATCATGTGTGATCAAGCGTGTCTCGCACTATCGAGAATAAAAGATTTTTCTTTATTTCCGTATTGCTGGATAACTGTGGTTCCAGATAATATTATGTCAAGCAGCACATCAACTTTTAATCGGAAACACTTGTACCGACATGTTACTTTGGCTCTTGTGCTCATGAAACCATGGATCACAACATGGCGAAATCACGCCGAATGTAGGCCATTGCCAACATAGTAGTACACTTGATTTTTAGCGAGCCAGCGCCATAATGTTCCTGGATCCCACTATTAGCCGACGAACTTCTCTATAGTGTCTGCCCTGAACAAGCAGCGGAAAGTGTTGACCCTCAGAGCCAAGACTTCCTTCGCTAGTCGCAACTAATTGACGTAGACCGTATGCTGTCCTTGATCTCGCGCCCAATTCAGACGTCGTCCTAACATCTCTGCATCAAACCGAGATTCCGGTGGATCCCATGATGTGCATGTAAGGTACCTAGACAACGCAGTTGCTAATGCAGGAGCATGTCACATCCGGACGAAAAAATATGCACAACCTTCGAAACAGTTGTTAACATGTCGGTGAAATATTATTTTACTATGTGGAGGCAACCGAAATTTAGAAGAAACAACCGTAGGCCACAAAATGAAGATATCAGTAGACGGACATATCGGTGGATACAGATTTACTCAAAGGTAAGTGCTGCTTTGTCAGTTTAAGCAGTGAATAAATGGTGGTTTAGTAGGAACCTGCTCCAGCACCAACATTGCAGTTGATGAAAGTAGTCCGTGACCGGTGAGTCATTTGATAGCGCAGAGTAGGCAATTGTAAAGCAACGTCCACAGATTGCTGACAACAGTGTGCTATACCGTGCTTGTTTTGTCGAAGTAATTGATGACAGTGGACTACTTGCTGTCTGCATCATTGCGGAATACAAACAGAGGAAGGACAAGAGAACTTACTCTCTGTGCCAGCTGTTCTGGTGTTTCGCCTTCTTGTGGATAAATCGGATCTCCAATGTAGGTTCTGTAATAGAACAAGCACCACATGGGATGCTGAACACAAAAGGGACTCACCTCAATTTGACCGGAAAGTAACCGTAAAATAGCACAAAGGGAAGTCGAGTGCGCTCGTACAGCTTCCGCCACCAAGCTAGAGTAAACAGAATGAACGTTTTAAAGTGCAAACACAATTTAATGGAACGTACATTTTCCAAACTGGACAACGCGGATCACTTCACGAATATTTTCCGTGAACATGGGATAGATGGGCTGTGGGTCGGAAGAGAGGATATAGAGAATTTACCACAACAGGGACCTGTGCAAATGAGTTACATAACCACAGTAGAGATATAATTTTACATGAAAGAAACGTTGAACACTTCACTGGTCATTGGCCTGCGGAAAATACCTCCACCAGGTTTGTAGGGGATCAGAAAATTGCCTAATGCTTTTCGGGAATGGAGTAGCAATTTACTTGGACCTGGTTGACAGCAACGGTAATGTCCTCTTCTAACCAATGACGAGATAGAGCTGAGAACACCACTGCTGTTGTTATCACACAATGTGCGGACCAACTTAGATAGCAGTAACCTGCATCTCTATAGAGAACAAACAGCGTTAAATCACATCTAACTGCTCGGCCAGATCGCTCACTGAAAAATCTGGTGGTCAATAGTTTCACATGTTGCTGTCGGGGCCTCAGTGGGGATTTTTGAAATACAATCTGAATCCAACCTCGAGATGGGAAATACCACACGACAGTTCAGGGCTATTCCGAACACTGGATTACAGGGGATTCCGTTTGGACGAGCCACACCATTATCAAATCTCGTACCAAGATGCATGTAAAAGACTAAGTGAACCACGTAAGAAAATAGATCAGGCAACCTTAGAAGTGCAGTTTGAAAGCTTAATGATACAAACTAGAGACCTGTTTCCAACATCTTCTAGTGATGTTGAGAACCTAAAATCTAGTCTAGTGAATAGCTGTCATGAATATGTTAAGGCTAAACTATCTAGTAATGATATTATTGCAAGGGAGCAAATTCAGGAATTAAAGAGTTACGGTTAAACAACGAATTAATTATCTCTAGACCAGACAAAGGATCCGGCATAGTGTTACTAGATAGGGTGAATTATATCTGTAAAATGCAACATATCCTCAGTGACGAACGTAAGTTCCAGAAGCTTATGGCCGGAAAGGACAACACAGGGGAGTTAGAGAAACAGTTGACCGGCTGCCTCAAGCGAATGATGCAAGCCAAACTGATCACAAAGAGCGAATACGAAAAGTTGAAGCCTTCAGGTGGACACCTACCGAGATTATATGGCCTTCCAAAAGTTCACAAGGAAGGCGCCCCAATGCGTCCAATATTGGACATGGTGGGTTCTCCCCAGCATTTGTTGGCCCAATGGATGGTGAACAAATTGCAACCGTTACGGGATATGGTTTGCACTTACTGCGTGAGCGACTCCTTCGAATTCATTGAGAAGATATCTGGACTCAACTTTACTAACAAAAGGATGATATCTTTTGATGCCCAGTCGCTGTTTACAAACATTCCCCTGCTCGAAACGGTGGAGTACGTGTGCGAGTTGACCCGGAAACTACCTATATACGCTAACTTTCCGGAGGATTTGCTAAAGGAGATACTATTTCGCTGCACGTTAAATGTTCAATTCATGTTCAATGGTGAGATGTGCCGTCAGATTGATGGAGTGGCCATGGGATCTCCTTTGGGGCCGTTGTTGGCTGATATCTTTATGGCGAAATTAGAACATGGCCCACTCAGGACGCACATCTGTGTTACTGAAATGTACATACGGTACACCTTCGTGCTTTGCGAATCCGAAAAGCATGCAGAACAGTTGCTGAAGGCCTTTAATGGTTCACATGATAATCTACGCTTCACCTGTGAGCACGAAAATAAAAACCGTTTACCTTTCTTGGATGTAGAAGTCATCCGCAATTCGGACGGCTCATGTAGCAGAAAGGTACACAGAAAGCATACGTGGACTGAACAGTACACTAACTTTCACAGCGCGGTGCCTTTACAGCACAAGAGGAGTTTAATCCGATCTCTTGCCTTCAGGGCGCGCAGTATTTGCACTCCGGATAACGTCAACGAAGAGCTACAGAGAATCAGCGACACCCTTCGTGAGAATGGTTACCTCGATAAGTTTTTCATGAAGCATATGAAAGAACGCAAGCGAAAGCCACCTAGAAGCATCGCTCCCAAGAAAGAGCTGTTCATACATTTACCATTTAAGGGCGACACTGCAGCTGATATCCTATCTCGACGTTTGAAAGATGCTGTTGAGAAAACTTATTTCGCAACCCGCTCAAGAATTGTTTACCACAACAAACCATTGCTTGCAAAACCCTTGAAAGATAGTCTGCCATCGTTGACCCGTTCAATGCTCGTTTATCAGTACTCGTGCTCTTGTGGTGCACGATACGTGGGTCGCACAACGAGACGACTATCTCAGAGGATTCGCGAGCACATCCCGGCGTGGTTTTACAAAGGCGAAATGTGGGCCTCAGACAGCTCAATCATGTCGCACCTCCTCGAAAGTGGCCATACTGCATCTGAGAATGACTTTAAAGTCATCTACTCACTACCTGAACGTTTATCGCAAGGCTTCCGAAAGCAAATCTTGTCTATCGCCGAGGCTATTTACATCCATCATCTGAAGCCAGAATTATGCGTACACAAACGATTCATACGGCCGATACTACTAACTTGGCCGACTGACATGGTTACTTAACTACCCTTTGTGACCTTAGCTATTTACTTTAGGCTCTGAAGCTCGTACTAATTTCCTTTGTTGCACTTTTCCTACCATCTGCAGCTACCTTTAGTCTTCGATCTTGACCTTTCAAACACCTTAGAAATCAATCCCAGCCCGATTTGACGTTTACCCCACATAATCCGTGTCATGTAAAAGTTTGGGTCTGACGAGATTTTACCGAAAAGATATCTTAACCATGAACTGTTTTCTGGTCTTGATTCATCAATTACAATGGGAATATTTGCTGTGTTGAAAATCAGCATTGCCCGTGATTCATTGAGGACATTAAGGTTAAAAACTCCTCCTCCCATGACGTCACGTCCAAGGAATGAGGCACAGGTGTCAGGCGAGAAGTGAGATGACTGATTCAAAAACAAGTAACGGATGATGAAACTGGAGGCGTGAATTAAACATAAGTAGACAGCAAGCTCAAGCAACTCAATCGTCCTGAGTAGAACAAGGCCCGCAAATCAGAAACCTTGTAGCAGAAAGCAACTGCCCAGAGGTTCAACTGCAATTCAGGAAACACATGAGAATTCCAAAGGGAACAAGTAAGCATTGCAGTCTACAGGACACAATGTCTAGGAAGGAACTGGACAGGACATGTTGCTTATCATACAACAACAGTAGTGTGTCTTAGCTAGGTAACAAGCAAATGACGAGTTATACACGAAGTCCAGTTCAGTGAAGCTGGATGAATTAAAACAGTCGGGATAGTAAAATACACAGAACTAGGTAGAGAAACCAAAAAGCAAAGGGACAGAAATTTTCGAAACATCCAAGACTAATTGGCGGACCACTGGCCTCTAAAATGCCTACGGCGAGGAAAGCTGGCAGACATTCTTATTAATTTGAAAATTTTTGATGGATTGACGACATTTTGTCCAAAGCAGGATGTAAGGGAAGCGCCGGCACACGAGGATCAACGACAGCCATTCTTACCTGCCCAGCGAGAAGAGCCACTTTGGCGAATCCCTGACGATTGCCCCACATCACTGAGTAGAACTCATCCGCAAACAAAGCCTCTCGAACTCCACCAGGAGCCAAAAGCAGCACACATCCATTGGCGTTCAATTGGCTTAACTTGGGGACAGTCGCTGGAAAGCACATGGATGGGAAAAGGGAAAGATGGAATGGTAGAAAATATAAATAGGAAGTTTTCGCGAGAAGTGCAAGCGCATGAAATATATCTCATGGAGATGCAAAGTTAGTATAAAGTAAAACGCCTCGTCCACACTGAGCAGCATCCTTGCCACGATGAACAGGTCAGGGAGATTTCAGGCAAACTACGGGTGTGTATTATATATATGGATGGCGGCTGCCGGTTTCGGATTTGTCTGTCACTGTGGTCAGCCACAGTAGGCCTGCGCCTACAGAGAAACCATGGGTGGCTTGCGTTGCACCACCCACAGCTCCATCCACACACTCCATGTCCAAAGTAAACCCGAAGGAATAGACCGGGAGGCATGCGGACGGCAGCCACATTTCATCGATGGAGCCGGCACACACTCCTTCACAGGCAAACACAAGCACACTGTATTTGGGAATCTAACGCACATTATGCCATGGCTGGACCGTAGTCCGCTAAACAGTAATTGCATAGAACTACTCTTCGAGCCTAACACGGCCACAAGGCTCGTGCACCCCGTCCCCTTCAGCAACGAGCAACTGTCTCCTAGAGCCAGTATGGATGAGGTAGTGGGTAATAGACAGGTAGGCACCTTGTCAACATGCACATCAAGCGCAGCCACACCGGGGATATCAGGCAACAGCCAATCACTTGAAACGACAAGATAAAATGAAATAAATCGAGTAACGCACAAACATACGATGACATAACTTTTCGCTAAATTAGCATATGAAGTAAGTTGGTTAGCAATGAATCCTCGATAACTAAAAGATGTCCACAAGTTAAGTAAAAAGGTTACAAACGCAACCAAGTTATCGAAGATAAGCACAATCAGCGTAAACAACTTGGCCAGTTAACAGATAATTCAGGTAGACAGTACAGACGAAATAAAGTGGAATGAAGTTTCTCCAGCTTAAAACGACCTAGTTTAAGTGTAGGTTGGTTTAGCCTAACTGCGGTGAAGAAGCATCAAAAATGCAGCATCGGCTTCAGCATGGGGCACACACACAAATATGTTTGGCGGCATCCTGTTTTGGATTTATATACCTATATATATATATATATATATATATATATATATATATATATATATATATATATATAGAGAGAGAGAGAGAGAGAGAGAGAGAGAGAGAAAGAGAGAGAGAGCTGCGTTTCAGATGGGCATACAAAGATGTTAGTGACACCAGTCTACGGCTCCATTAGGAATCAAACCCGTGACCACTAGCGGCTTGCATCACCAGTCAGGAGCATAAGTCACCAGGACACAGGGGCTGACTGTGGACTATCTTGTTATAACATAAATATGCATTATGGCGCTACCCACTCTACACCACCATGCAAGTTACGAAATTTTGGTAGGGAATAGAGCAAGTCTTATGGAGTGACGGGTTTCCCTTACTGCAGCGAGTATGACAGTGCGCCAATGAAGAGCTTCAATAGGAAGAAATGGCCGTCTTATATTTATCCGGATTTCTGGCAGCCCACCTGAAGTAGAACCTACTGCAATGAGCCTTCGATACAAGTACATCAAAACTCATTACTTGTGAGTAAGTACATATATACTTACGACCAAGTTATTTCTTAACTCAAATCACAATTCAGATGGATCTAGTATTATCACTGAACAGCTTCGTCTGTTGGTGCCAAAGTCGGCCGAGCAGGCCTTCATGTTACTAAGGAATTCAAGTCCCATAGCACTTGGAGAGCGTGAGTTGCATGCAAGTACAGAGCCAAAAATGGAAAGGTACTGCACATTTGATGCAAGATTAGAGTTCTGGAGTAGCCTGGCTAAGATGATCCCTCAGAAGACAAACGCTATTTTGACAAGACCAAGTTCAGCAAATAGAAAATCAAATAAGCGTCGGGAAAACTAAGATGATTCAACCAATGAGGTTGGAGTACACCAGATATCGTGCCGAAATAGTTGCAGGCAAATGAATGTTGATGGGAAGTTGGGTTTACTGCCGTTAAGGATTCAGAAAGCTAAAATTAAACTCCGCAAGTACAGATCTGAAAGTCCAGCTTTCCAAACAGCCGCACGATGGCATGGCACATGGGAAAACATTAATGCTAACAGCGCAATGTGGTGTAGACGAACTATGCTTTAAATAATCCACGACTAGACATCATTTTTGTTCGTTGCAACTTTGGGTTCATCTCTGTATTTTGCTCTTGGTGCTGTTTTGACTATTCGTGCTGCTGCTCACTGTTAGCCGCAACGCATCTGTGGTGGTTGCTTTGTGGAATCCGCGGCCATCGTACCTTGCCATCCAAGATTTGTCTCAGTTCCACGCGCCTACTAGATTTTAGACGTAATACTCACATTTAATTCACCACACAAAGTCGAGGAATATGAGCAACCCGTGACGAATTTGCACATAACAGTATCCGACATTTATTCGAGGAATTAAAACAAACAGTCTCGGGGCACCGAACGGCGTAATATCTAGTTGTCATGATTTGCGTCACGATGAAGCAAGGCTCTAGAAGTTCCTTCACACAAACTCGACATTCCTGTTACCATGTGAAAGTCACCCGTTTGCCATCACGATCTTTCATCATTGATTCGTGCCTAAGTTTACCGCGCCAACTGTGAAATAAACATGCAGCGATAAAGCCTATGTCAGCCATTAGCCAAACCAGTCAAAGTGCTAACGATAAATTTCAGAATTTTCTCTGCCTCTGGTTCACGATGAATAAGTGGGTTTCCCATCTGTTTCGCGAGTGGACTACTTGTTTTCATGTGGGTCCCTTTATCACTCATTCAGTGGTTAGGATCCACAGGACCATGATGGATCCGATTTCTGCCGAGCTGTTATGCGCTTGTGGACAACCGCATAAGTCACTTGGCTTATTCAAAGAAGGACGGCAAAACAAATTAACCAGTCTTCTCTCATGTGAAGCGTACAACATAGCACGTTTATGACGACGAGTGCGGTCCACATCCGAAAGAGACAGTGAATTCTCAAAATAATATTGTAAACGGAATCTAACCGCAGCACTCGTAACACTATAATCATCATGGAAATCAAGGTAAATGAAGAAAACGTGTTCTATTTTTCTTTTCCATAGATGAAACCAGTTGAAAATATCCGAAAAACTGCCATAGACACATCCCTGTCTATCTTTTCCTAGGAACTCCGTATAACATCATGGGAGAAAGGTAGACTTGGCCCAGACATGTACTACCAAGACGGCATGACAGAGTCGTTAACTGTTTCGAAGCCATTGCTATTTTATAGTTATGCTAAGATTGATGTTGGCGGGATCTAACTGGTTGCCTTAATTAAGGTGCGGCAGCCGCCACTATCGTCGACTACACCAAGTGCAGGGCTGACACGTCACTAGGCTTCATGCTTGACAGATATGTTACCTTAATTTGCAGCTGAATCATAATTCGAAAGACCGTGAGTAACAGCAGAATTGGCTATTGTAGTTGTGGTGCTGATGGTAGATGAGCATCCGTTGTAAATGTCTGAGAGAGAGGAAGTAATAACTAGTTTGTTGTTAACGATCAAAACCTATGGTAACTAGTATTGAATACCAAAAATGAACGTACAACATGCTCAGAAACTTGGGTAAATGAAGATACAAATTCCGTTGGCCACCGTCGCAGCAATGTCCACTGTGGAGGACTCCATAAGGTTGAAGGAACACCAGGAGTAAGAGAGTGGGAGTCACGTGACCGCTCAGGTCAAGAAAATACGCATTTCAAAGTTAGTGGACAAGGACAGGGATGTGGTCCGGCAGCTACAGAATGCACAACACTCATTGACCAATTGATCGAATCTGCTGCCTCTATCGGTGATGGATTATGTCCAACAGGTGCAGCCAAACGGTCTTGTGGCGTGATTGAGTAGCAGCCACACGTAGAAGGGAACAGAGCAGAAAATCGGAGGGAAGTCAAACTGAAATTTCTAGCAGCCGAGGAAAGTGGTAAAGGTGACATAAAAGGAAAAAATGCTCCGAGCCGCGTCACTTTAATCGAACTCGTTGCAGTGAATGCCGCGATATTCTAGATCAAAGAAATCATCTATCCTCTAAAGTTAGGACGGATGGTTCGTGCTTTATACGCAAGTCACCAAACAAGGTAGATTGTGTTGGTAGATATACTGTAATCATATACATGTTTTCAATCACACTACAGATACGTAATTTCCGATGAGCTGGGCTTGCTCGTACTGCATGGGACAAGCAATAAAAAACACGAACGGACACTTACGCGGGGTGGCAAAACTTGCTTGACCTATTGCGCCATCAAGAAGTAACATGCTGCCGTATCAGGTTAGTCTCGTAAAAGATTTTGCTGACCCGAACCACTGATTGAAGAGTTAGAAGTCGGCGAAGGTCCACTGCGTAAGCAAGAAGCACTGCTTATCTCCATGCTTGTATTACTTTCTTGGTCCCGCTGATTTGTCTCAGCTGGGCGCCGTGCGACAGGCCGGTAAACGGATCCCGACTTTGTAACGGGAGCGCCTTCGGTCTGTTTACATTGGTGGTAGCTTAAATGCAGAAGATTGAAAGTGCTTTAGCTACGACCATTGTATTCTTTCATAATAATACGACAGGCTGTTTTATTATCCTAAGTTCACTTGATCAAGCTGAGTTTGGTAACAGCTACCAAATTGGTAACGTGTACTTGCATGCACTCGAGGAACGGTTATAAAAGCATTTCGGGAAATGCAGCAGCTAAATGAAAGAATCCATCGAACATGGCCGTAGTTCTCAAAAGGCTCTAACCTAGAGAGTGGTTCATTCACTAGAATTAAATGATCTAAGGAAAAATCCGATGAATTCTTCCATCCACACAATTAGCGGTAGATTACACTTTGAGGACGCGAAGTAATCCTTGAAACGAGTGATGTGTTCTCGCACGTTCCCATGGTTCTTGCAGAATTGAAAGATTTAGTCGCACCTGTATGGCCTGATAATCAGCCCAAAGGAGAAACGTCAAGAGACGAGGAGAGAAACAGCAAGGCAATGTAGGAATACACACATCTAAAATACACAAAAATGTGGTGATGGGAGCAACTAACAAGCGTGATTATTCAGCGAATCTCATTAACTGTTTGACGGCTGATTTGAATGGTTTGGCAGTATAGCAGTGAGATGATCTAAGTCGGACTACCTATCTGATCTCTATGCAAATCTAAGGGACGGGGGGCGAAACTTGGTGCGAAGGAAATGAAATACTAATATGTTCGGAATGGAGTAGAGGGGTCTAATCTAACCAGATCACACAATCAAGATAACTCAAGACTAACTTACGGTGTCTCGGCTGCAAATGTGGGTTCAGATACGAGGCGCAGATGTCCACTGTACAGTCGGTTGCTTCGGCCAAATCCAAAAGTGTTCGCATCCCAGGCATACGAAAGATGAAGCGATCAACCACAGGGACGGGAAATCTGGAAAAAGGCAAGGGAAGTGCCCAGCGGGTGTTAATGGATACATTGGATTGGAGCACACGGAATAAAAATGCTGCAAGATGGCGACGAATTTCGAATGGAAATGATATTTGATGTGATTGTGATTTATTCACAGGTGAACTAGAGTTCAAGAATGATCTGGAAGGCGCATTTCGAGGAAGAAAGGAGCGTATGTACCATCAGCGGTACTATTGTAATGGCAGATAGGGATGGGGAGGAGGTGCAATTGTTCAACCTGTGGTCACAAGGACTGCGTCATTTAAAAATAAAACGACAATTAAAATGCACACTGCGGACAGAGAAATCACCACAATCTGCGAATTTCAAATGACACTGATGCAGGTGCCCTCAAGATGGTCGTAATAAGAATGGAGACAACAGCAAGCAGTGCCTGAGCCTAACATCGACACGTGTAACACAACATTGGGCAATGATATGTGAACTTCTCACTTATTACTTGCTTGTCATAAATATCCAGGGATCTAGTTTAGCCTACATGGTTCGTTTGCTTGCTGAATACAGCATATTCCCTCAGGTTCATACCGTTCGCACTCGACCTATCCTTCCTCACTATCACACACAACTCGGTCCGTTAATTAGCAACTGATGCTTCCCCTTCACACTTTTATTCTGTTGTCGTTCGAAGAGATCAAGGAAGAAGCTGAACACTGTACTTTTACCTATCAATTACACTATAATTTAAGTCATTAAAACGGAAGTATCTGACGATGGTATTGCCGCCGCACTGACAGAGATCGGACTACCAGTTGCTCTCTTTTCTAGAACGCTGTATGCCAGTGAAGGACTCCAACCTCCATTCCAGAAAGGGGCAAAAGCTGTCGTTGAGACGGTCCTCAAATGGCCGCAGTACTCAATTTCCAACCGGTTAACAATTATTACTAGTCAGCTCTTTTATATTTAACCTCGATCAGAAGGGTAGATTAGGTATGAGAAAATTCAGCAGTCTCGCGTGTTACTCTCATGTCATGACTAAGTATAAAGCAGCGGAAACACTAACGTGGCTGCAGACGCTTTAGCGCGCACATGTAGATCATCACAATCACACACCATGACATTCCAGGAACTACTAGGTGTACGAAAAGCTTTTTCAATTTGTATGGAAATGAAGGACGACTTTCTTATAGTGAATAAATGTATTGAAGTAAATATTGTCCGTTCTGGTCCGATACCTTTTGCTATCTTTCTGACGGAAGCATGCTGCCACGCTCATGAAATGTTTGTTTTATTGCTAGCAATAACAGATCCAGCTGATTTTTGACCTCTTCATTTGAATAAATGTTCTACCGTTTAAAATGTTTTGTAAAGGCGGTAATGAATAATAATCAGATGGTGTATCCGCGTATCTCATCCAAGCATTTAATGCTTTTGGCGAGTTACCACACTTGCATGAGGTCTCGCATTGTCTTCGTGGAACACTACGCTTTTCTATTGATTCATTCCAGCCTATTCGGTTTGTGTGAAGCATTCAGTTTGTCCAGCTGATGACAGTTTACTTCAGAATTGATCGTTGTGTTGTCAGATATTAGCTAAAAAACCATTCCCTTGAAATCTCACCAAACAGAACATCATCTTTTTTGATGAATCTCGGATTTCGAAGTGGTTTGAGCCGGTTTATATTTTTCTCTATGATCTTTCGTATTTAACAATTTTTAGACAACCCACTTTTCGTTTTCAGTGATGATGTGCTTCAAAAATGGATCCTTTTCTTGATCTTCGATACGCGAAACACAGACGTCAACGGGACGGCATAAATTTCTTTCCATGCGAATATGAGGAAACCATATCCCCGGATTCGAGATGAAACCTAGGCGTTTCAAATGATCATGATCCGTCTTGTTCGATATATTTAGGCTCTCAGTGATCCCACGTTGTTATTCGGCAGTCTGCATTATCTAATGCATACTAATTAACACATAGTGCAAATACTTAGTTTATTAAGGCCAAATTGGAAGTTTACAAACACGTTTTGGCACTGGCGTTCTGTCAACACATCTCCATAAATATCCGATACATTTATCTTGGTTGAACAGCATGTTTTCCTTTTCGATAGTAAAAAGTAAAATATACCGAAAATGCTGCTTTTCACTTCCCAAATTTGCAAGGGTACTACCAAACACTGCTACCCATAATCAAGCGAACATTTGCACAGACATGACTTACTATTTCACCTATCAAGAAATATAATCATTATGCGGATTATGTTTGGTTGGTTGTGAACAAATAAACGAAATAAAGCTAAAAAGCAAAATTACATTCCCACCAACCTAATGTCTGATATTCTGTGTCATCCCGGAATTACCAGAATGTTGTACCTAGTTAATTCCCTTGATCATTCATGCATTTTTGCATATGAATTTCAAACACTTATGGAAAGAGCAATTTGGAAAGTGCTATTTGCTTCCGTCGCAACGAGACTGGACCTTAACGTGGTGCGACGGTTTGCGTACCTTATTGACCCATTGAGCTATACTGGTTGATGCCTCCGAGCATCTTGAAAGCTACTCCTACTACAGTCAATGGTGAGAGGTCAGACGAACTCAGTCTCCTGGTCCTCTAGGTTGGAGGTTTGAAATGGGATGGCGTCCATTTATGTGAAGCTAAATCACTGTCACCCCGCTGCATTGCCGACAGGCTTTTGAGCCCAAGTCTTTGGATGAGGACCCTAATCGTCCTCCAGTCTAGGTCTGGGCACCCTGGTAGTATCTCAGCAAACATACAACCATGACATTTTCTTCAAACACAAACTTCATCCTGCATCGGCCGTCGCGCAGATTATCAAGGGTCACTTTATCTGCTGCATACAGCAGGGCGGATAAGCGAAAACATGCTACTGCTGGCGCCTCCCTTCTTTCTTTCCCACCTTTTTCTCTTACTCCCATCCCGGCCCCCATTACTAACCTTCCTTCTATAATTCCCAGCTTAATTGACAGCAACCGACGTGCTACTGGAGTAGAACCCTCTGCAGCCACCATCCCACCGCACCTATCGGACGCCTATCGGAAAAAGTCACTTATAAGGCCACGCTGTCTTGTTTCCATAGCGACATTCAACGTCCGCACTCTAAGACAAACAGGTCAGCAGGCTGCACTCGCGCGCACTTTGGACACTCTGGGTATTGATGTGTGCTGTGTTTCCGAAACTAGGATTAATGACCCTAACGGGGTTATTTAGTTGACTGCACCCGGCTTATCCTCTCGTTATTGGTTGCACGCATCCGGAGACGCCGATGCGGCACTCACGGGTCAAGCTGGTGTAGGTATCATTTTCAGCTCCAAGGCTGAGCCATCGTTGGTTGATTGGATTCCGGTGAACAGCCGTTTATGTGCAGCCCGTTTGACGACATCGGCTAAGTTGAATTCACGAAGTAAAACAAAACGCAGTTTGTTTGTGATTTCCGTTTATGCTCCCACCGACTGCAGTTCTATTGCAGTCAAGGACACTTTCTATCACGAACTGAATGCCCTACTACGCAGTGCTACTAGTTCAGATATTCTAGTACTTGCAGGGGATATGAACGCGCAAGTAAGGCGTCTGAGCTCTTCAGAAGCTCAGGTGGGTGGTAATTATGGACTTTACTCCGAACGGACTGACAACGGTGATTGTCTGCTGCAACTGTGTGCGGAGCATCAGTTGTTTCTTACTAGCACTTCTTTTAGACACAGTGGACGCCGAAGTGCCACTTGGCGTCCACCTGTAGCTGGCCAGCGATAGACCCAAATTGACCACATAGCCATAAGTTACAGATGGCGCGGTTCCATTCTGGATTGCCGCTCGTACTGGAGTACCTGTGTCGACTCTGATCATTCTTTGGTGCGCTGTCGTTTCTCCGTGAACTTTACCGGAAGGCACACAAAGCATCTCCTCCGATTGGTAACGAAGAAATTGTCCCAGCCCTCTGTCAGGCAAGCCTATCAAGAAGCACTGCATACCGAACTCTCGCTGTCTTGTCTTATTGACACTGAACTTCAGTGGAATAAAGTCTCGGCTGCCGTGTACGACGCAGGAACATCTGCACTAGTCACTGGATATCCGATAGGTCGGTGAACCTGTTGGAAGCTAGAAGACACCTCCCGTCTGGTTCTGAACACAGTGTGACCAGACGGGCTATTAGGCGTGAACTAAAGCGGAGCCTACGTGCTGACAAGGAAGCCTGGTGGACCAATAGGGCTCAAGAAATGGAGGAGGCAGGAGCAGTAGGCAATTACTGCAAGCTCTTCCAGGTAATTGCACCACTGGTCCCAGAAAACCAGGAGTCAGTGAGACAATCAGAGACAGCGCGGGTGCGCTGATACACAATAAGGAGCGCCGCATGGCTCTTTGGGCGGAACACTTTCAAGATCAGTTCAGCTGGCCCCCTGCTCCCGGACCTCTTCCTACTCAGGTGATGCAGGACGGGCGATGGACGGTTAGTTTAGAGCCTCCGTCGGAGGCCGAGGTACGAAACGCGATCACAGCCCTCAATCGTTTTCGTGCCGCTGTTCCGGGATTCCCTCCCACCTGCACTATTTAAGGATGGAGGTGAGGTCCTCTGCAGGGCACTGACCTCCCTATTCGAACGTATCTGGAACGAAGAGAGTGTCCCGGCTAATTGGAGCGAATCGATTATAGTGGTACTATACAAAAAGGGCAGTCGCACAGACTGTGCGAACCACAGGGGTATTAGCCTAACGCCAGTTGTGACAAAATTACTGGCCTCGATTATTGTTCGTCGCCTCACTGCAGAACGGGAATCTCGGATTAGGGAAGAGCAGGCCGGTTTTCGGCTAGGAGGTGGCTGTATAGACCATATATTCACTTTGTGGCAGGTGCTAGAGCAGCGCCACGCATACCGCAGACCGACAATAGCTGTGTTCCTCGATTTCAAGAGTGCGTTCGATTCAGTTGATCGATCGATTCTGTTCGAAATACTTGCGCGGAAAGGTGTTCCCACGAAATATGTGAACATCCATCGTGCTCTATACTCGAACACTACAGGCCGCGTCAGGGTCTATGGTGTCCTGTCGGATAGCTTTCGGACTACAAGTGGCGTTCGTCAGGGTTGTCCGATTTCCCCATTTCTGTTCAATTTCGTCGTGGATTCTATCATGGAGTGTTCCCTGACGGAATCCAACGATGTAGGCGTTGAAGTGCTGCCTAGTGAAAGGTTAGTTGATCTAGATTATGCCGACGATATCGTCTTGCTTTTCGACAATGTCAAGGCGGCACAATCAACCCTGAATAGCCGGTCTAGAGTGGTCCCATTATTTGGTATGCACTTTGCACCTTCAAAATGCAAATTGTTGCTGCAGGACCACCAGCCACTTGATGACCCCTTGACGCTTTCTAACGAGGAACTCGAGGTGGTTGATCATTTTACTAATCTTGGCTGCTGCATCAGCAATGATGGGCGCATAGAAACTGACGTGAGCTCACGCATTGCAAAGGCCAGAGCTGCCTTCTTGAACCTGCGTCATCTTTGGCGACAGAAGGGAGTTTCCCTCCGTCTGAAAGGCCGTGTATACAAGGCCACAGTGAGGGCCGTTCTGCTCTATGGTAGTGAAACTTGGCCCCTTCGGTCAGAAGATCTGAGGCGTCTTCAAGTCTTTGATCATCGTTGTTTGCGAAGCATTGCCGGTGTCGGATGGCACTAGCGTATCCGCAACGATGATGTGCGTAGGCGAGTACTAGGTAGTGATAATCATGCTAGCACCCTAGAACAACATATATCACTGAATAAGTTGCGTTGGCTCGGGCACGTGCTACGCATGCATTGTCAACGCTTACCTAGGAGGGCCTTATTCAGTCTACCAGGTGTAGGTTGGCGCAAGGCTCGAGGTGGACAGAAGTTGACTTTGCAGCGGGAAATGAAGTCACTGACAACCAAACTGGGTGCCATTGGTCCGTCTCGCCTTCCGGGTTGGAGTCCACGTGACTCACCTTGTGCTTGGCTCGACACTTTGCAGGACATGGCTCGCAACCGACACCAGTGGCGCGTCTGTTGCCGTCTTCTAATCGGATTGCCTGTTTAAAGTATGTTTGGTGCTGAGTTATCTGCTTGGTAATGGCTGATTATGACGCGGGGCAGTGAAAGCCGCACGGAAGCTGTCTCGCCGATGTCGCCTTATCTTTGCACGATAGCCAGCTGTTTGTGACGGTATGTTGTCTACACAAGGTGTAGACGTCTTGACCCTGAATGTTTGGTTAGGACATTAAAGTTTTCAGGTAAGTCCCCGTTCTCTCCCTATGCTTATTCTTTATTTCATAGGTCCTCATGGTTGTATGGCAGCGAAGCATCGGGTCAAATGGCTGATGTACTGCTGTTGATGATGATGATGATGATTTGCTTCATCGCAATTAGATTAAAGGTCAAAAAGATTGGTTGCCAATCCAGCATGCACCAGATGATCGTTTCGTCTTATTGAGGCTGAAAATTTTTGTGCATACTCTCGGTCCGGTTCCGAAATCCGTTCAAGGTGAATGCCATGCACAACTGTGTATGGGAGTTTGCAAAGAATTATGCAACGTAGTGGTTTACACAAGATTGCGCGTTCGAGGGTTAAAAGGATGAGAAAATGATTGCTATGGACCATCATACGAATAAAATGCAGTTCTTGTTGTTTTACGGGGAAAATTTACTGCAATTCAAAGGCATCAGAATCAAAAGACAGTTAGGCGAACAAGCTTGTTTTCGGTGGTTCGCATCAGGCCAATACACCACAGATAATAGAAAAAATACAGTGTATTTAAATACGGTGAATCAATGCGGTGATTTGACCGGTATTGCGATCAAGTGACGACACTGGCTAGGGCATCATTAGTAGAATTGTCAAGCGTGGTGTCATAACGTGGGAAAGCTTGAGACCATGGCAGCTGTAGAGTCTGTAGCAACTTCTTTTGAGCACATAAGTCGGGGTTATGGAGCCGAATAGCGATTGCTTCCGCTGTCGCCAATAGGCGACACAAATCACCAAATGAATGTGCGAGAGGCATTCCGGCCTATCTACAAGATATCTGGAGGCCACACGCGAGCCCTTCGCTGTCGCCTATTGGCGACAGCGGAAGCAATCGCTATTCGGCTCCATAACCCCGAGTTATGTGCTCAAAAGAAGTTTGTACACACTCTACAGCTGCCATGGCCTCAAGCTTCCCCACGTTATGACACCACGCTTGACACTTCCACTAATGATGCCCAAGCCAGTGTCGTTACTTGATCGCATTGACCGGTCAATTCACTTCATTGATTCACCGTATTTAAATACACTGTGTTTGTTTTATTTCTATTAGAAGAAGAGACCATTGACTATCTCTGCGGGTTTATCCAATTGCACAACATCAACATCGGTATTCCAAATGACTGTTTAAGGCAACTTATATTGGCGTGCACTAAGAACATTCAGTTTCAGTTCAATGAGACGTTTTACAGACAAATAGACGGGGTAGCTATGGGTTCACCATTTTGACCACTACTCGCCGATATCTTCATGAGTAAGTTGGTGAACACTCAGCTAAATGAATGTCTTAACAACTTAGTTTACTACGGTCGATACGTAGGTGACATATTTTGTGCTGTGGGTGGTGGAGTATGCATCGAAGATCTGCTAGCTCACTTCAACACTGCACATAACAACATTGTGTTCACCATATAACTTGAAAGTAACAACTCCTTGTCATTCTTAGATATCCATATCCCCATTAACTCAGACGGGACTGTACAAAAGAGAGTACATAGGAAGACAACTTGGACCGGCCAGTATAGCCATTGCGCCGGTTTCGTTTCAATGAGTCAAAAACGCAACCTTGTCCGTTGTCTACCGGGAAAAGCGATAAAAATATGCACGGAAGATACGCTGTCAGATGAACTGAGTTTCATTCGAAGCGTTCTAGAACAAAATGGTTATCTGGAAAAGTTCATCCGGAGACACATGGAGCCACGAGCAGCGAATTCCAACCAATCACCGCAGAAAAGCGCCAAAACTACTTATCACTGCGTTTCAAAGGTGATGTGATAGCGGAACGAACTACTCGAAGGCTCTGCAATGCAACATTGAGAACCTACTTTGCAGCTGACCTCCGTGTCCGCTTCACTTCTACGCCAGTCGTGAGTCAGCAGCTCAAGGGCAGATTACCGAGGTCGAATATTGCCTTCTGTGTGTACCATTTTTTTGCTCGTGTCGAGCAAGTTATATTGGAAAGACGACCAGGAGACTCTCTGAGAGAGCGAGAACATTTCACGGCATGGCTCTACACTGAAGTCAGAATGACAGTAGTCAGGGCGGTGCTAGGGCATTTGGCCGACACAAATCAGCAAATGAATGTGCGAGAGGCATTCCGGCCTCTCTACAAGATATTTGGAGGCCACATGCGAGCCAATAGGCGACAGCGGAAGCAATCGCTATTCGGCTCCATAACCCCGACTTAGGTGCTCAAAAGACGTTTGTACACACTCTACAGCTGCCATGGCCTCAAGCTTCCCCACGTTATGACACCACGCTTGACACTTCCACTAATGATGCACAAGCCAGTGTCGTCACTTGAACGGTCAATTCACTTCATTGATTCACCATATGTAAATACACTTTGTTTGTTTTATTTCTATTATCTGTGGTGTATTGGCCCGATGCGAACCACCGAAAACAAGCTTGTTCGCCCAACTGTCTTTTGATTCTGATGCCATCTCATGGACTATCGTCACAGTTGAATCTATTCTATTGCAGACAAAATTTCGAATGAAATGTGATGAAGCAGATTGCAGTGAAGCAGAAATTTGTGCTAAGGAGAAATTCGGCGAATAGCATCTGTGTTATGTTTACAGCTCTTCCGTCGCTCATTTGTATGTGCGCGTATATGTTGCTGCGTCCTTGAGGTTAGGGTACGGTAGGGATTTAAATGCATGACCTTGACAGGTACTTCGTATATATCAGAACATTCCCCGGGTATAAGTTGCCTAAGGCAGGCTGTGTGATGTTTCGGTTGCCAAAATATGTGAATTTTGGAAGAACACTGTTTAACTATCGCAAGTAGCTAGGTGGTTGAAAAGGTTGGACGCTAAACCTCTACATTATAATGTAAAGGGTGTCAAGTGTAGACGATGAAATTTGTCGTATATATAATGCCCACGGAGCAGGTATTAGTGCCACCACATAGCATAAGGTACCCAATTTGCGTGCAAAGTTCCCGCAGACAAGTGATTGCAACTACTCACCGATGGCGTTCAAGCTGGTGGCGTGCGGCAAAGTAATACGCGTCACATGTACTTGCTCCGTGGTAGAAAACGATGAAAGCAGGACCTGATGGAGGAAGCTTTTCCATTCCGACCACCTCGTACGCGTGAAAAATGTGACCATAAGCATCCCACATGGAAGCCACCAACCATCTCAGGAGTTGTGGCAAGGTGGCCAAATCATGCCGCATAGTGTGGTGTTGGCGTACACTGGAGGGTAGCCAACGGAGCCAATGATGTTTCAGCCAATACCACAATCGGCACAGGTGGATCAATAGAATACTGCTATGGAGAAATAGCAAAGGGAATGTGGGCAGCAGGAAACACAGGAGCAGAAGATGCCGGAGCCAGCATATAAACGCCATGGCATAGCCTGAAACAGGGAAGCATAGAGCTTGATCGATCCACTCTAAGAGCGTAAATAGGGACCAGTTGACACCTTCAACAGAAATGATCTGCATCTGATCGAGAATCCCGTATGTTAAGGACAAGGCGAACGATTTGTGAATGAGCAGAGTGAAATAGATCCAACTGAGTTTGACATTCTGGAACTCCATTCAGTCGAGTGTAAATATCATCCTGAAATCGCAAGAATGTAATACATGTGGTCACCGTGGAATTCTGGGCAGAGACAGAATCTATGTATTGAGGAAAACGAACACTGTGGAGGGAAAGACAATTAGCCTTCCTTGTATGGATTTACACTCGAGCAAGAAGAAAAGAAATTGTACGCAAGGAATGATAATGTTAGATCCTACCTTGCTATGCTACTGGTGGAATTGATCGTGTTCGCAACCGGATACCTTTCGCTAGCGTGAGATCTAAGCATGTATGTATTAAACTAGTTGGCTTCCACCAGTAGTTTGAATAACACACTGGGGAAGAGAACATTGGTAGATGTGCGCATTTCGTTTTGTCACATCTATCCAAATACAATGAGGAGCAATTATTATTGGGTTTTCCATCGCAAGGAGGCTGGACCTTACCATGGTGCGATGGTTTGCGTGCCTCAGAGATCTATTGATCTATGCTGGATGGTGCTTTTTTGCACCTTCAGAGCCACTCATATCAGATGGGTCAATGATTAGAGGACAGACAAACTCAGCCTCCTGGTCCTCCAGGTTGGAGGTTGGAATGGGGGTGGCTCCTCACTTCATAAAACCGGCTCTTTTGTCCAGTGCCAAAACCCGCTGCCTTGCGGTAAGATTTTTGAACCAAAGGCTTTGGTTGTGAACCCTAATCGTTCTCCTGTCTACGCCTGGGCAACCTAACAGTATTCTCCCCACGTAATACAATGAACCTTTCCTACAACAATTTCTTGATGCTCTGGCCGTCGCAGAGGATAATAAACGGTGCCCTATCTGCGGCATCGAGCAGGGTGGATAGGGGTATGGATGCTACTGCTCAGACCTTCCCGTCTTCTTATACACCTTCTTGCGCTTCTTCATCCTTATCGTCTTGCCCCAACTTTACTTATATCCCCCCATTTTCCATCCCCAATTCTTGGCCCTCCCCAAGCTTACTTCAATAGTCGCTTGTCTTCTAATTTCAAATCACACACAATCACAGGGCCTCGCTCCAATCCAGTCGACAAGTTCATGTTCAACCAAGCGGACAACGTCACTTCATCCGTTTCCCTTTGGAGTCCTCGTGTCTCGCTAAGACTGGCATGCCCCAACGTGCGCACTTTGCTGCAGATTGGCCAACAGACAGCATTTGCCCGCACACTAGAGACCCTATCGATTGATATTTGCTGTTTATCAGAAACCCGCCTGCAAAGTTTGAGCTCCGTGCTTACCCTAAGATCTCCCACACGTGATACTGGAGGCACATTCTCATGGCGCCTGTCTGGCGATGATGCAGCTTCAAATGCCGGTCAAGCTGGCGTCGGCATTATTTTGAGTCCCCGGGCTGAAGCTGCCCTGATTGATTGGATCCCAGTAAACAGTAGGATGTGCGCTGTTCGATTAGCTGGTTCGTTCCGTGCTACGAAGTCGCGCGGGGAGAAACGTTGCCTGTTTGTCATTGCGGCTTACGCCCCTACAAACTGTAACACTGATTCGGTATATGATTTCTATCAGCAACTTTACGAACTCCTTCGTTACAGAAGAAGCACGGATACTGTGGTGTTGGCTGGCGATCTAGGCACCCAAGTCGGAAAATTGTCCTCTGATGAGCTTCATCTGGGCGGCCAACATGGTGTAGGCTCCCGTAATGATAATGGTGAGCGATTACTACAGCTGTGTGAAGATGCTCGCCTCTTTCTCGCGAGCACTAACTTTCGACACAGCACCCGCAGAAGCGTGACTTGGCGGCCACCAGCCTCGGACCAGCCTCAGGCCAGCCAAGGACGCAAATCGATCATATCGCAATCAGTTACCGCTGGAGAGGCTCTGTTTAAAACTGTCGCTCGATTTGGAGCACGAGCACGGACTCTGACCACGCACTTGTCTGTGCCGACCTCTTGGTGCGTTTCGGTGGACGTCCGCAACGTCGATGTGAACGGATGGACACCAGCCAGCTGGCGAAGCCAGATGTTCTGAATGTGTACCAAAGTGCGCTGACATCTGGGCTGAGTAAGCGCCCACTAAACACCGTTGAAGATCACTGGTCGCATATTCATCAAGCGCTGCTGTTAACAGGCATGTCTTCATGTGGCAAAGCAAATTGCCGAACCGGACATTGGGTTTCTACACAGTCTCTGGAACTTATGGATGCTCGCCGGCATATTCCGGCTGGAAGCGAATACAATGAGGCTCGCAAAAATCTCAGGACAAAACTACGTGCTAACCTAAAGAAGGACCGCAAAACCTGGTGGTCTCATCGTGCCTCTGAGATGGAAACAGCAGCTGCCGTTGGTAATCATCGTAAGTTATTCCGTCTGATACGGGAATCAGGCAGCAGAAGAACTGGTGTTAGCGAGACCATACGCGACGAGAGTGGGCAGCCGATCCACAGCTTGTCAAAACGCTTGGAGCGTTGGGCTGAACACTTTTCAAGGCAATTTAATCAACCTGAGTTATCGCTCCCTTCTTCGGGCATTGAGCGCTCTTTTCCTTGGGCCGTCTCCTTGGATCCGCCCTCACGCGCAGAAGTCAAAAGTGAGATCAGGCTGTTGAAATGGCATAAGGCCGCAGGGGCAGATAGAATTCCCCCAACTCTCTTCAAATTGGGGGGACCTGCTCTAGTAGATGATCTACACGAGTTGCTAGTAAAATTATGGGAGCAGGAGACAGTCCCGACAGACTGGAACCGCTCCGTCATTGTCCTAATTTTCAACGGAGACTCCCGTTTAGAATGCGGCAATCATAGAGGGATCAGTCTGATTTTAATTGCCTCTAAATTGCTTGCCTCTCCACAGGTTGACTGGCACACATGAAAGCCAGATTCGTGAAGAGCAAGCCGGATTTCGTCGAGGTCGGGGCTTCATCAACCACATCTTCATATTGCGTCAAGTGTTGGAGCACCGCCATGTTTATTGGCGACCCACGGTTGTCGTGTTTCTTGACATAAAAGGTGCCTTCGACTCAGTCGATCGATGTACCCTTTGGGTCTGCCTGCTGAGGAAAGGTGTGCCTGATAAATATGTAAACATTATCAAAGCGCTGTACGTGCATTGTTCGGGGCAGAGTGAGAGTTTATGGCAAACTTTCGCCACCCTTCAGTGTCACCAGTAGTGTGAGACAAGGATGCCCACTGTCACCTTTCCTCTTCAACTTCGCTATTGATGAAGTCATGGAAACAGCGTTTGCCGGACACGACCTAAAAGGTGTACAGCTACTTCCTGGTGAGCGACGTCTTGACTTGGAGTATGCGGAGGATATTGCTTTAATCTGTGACAGCTCCCAAACATGCCAAACAGCACTGGACCGGTTAGCACTGGCTGTCAATCGTTTTGGGCTATGCTTTGCTCCATCGAAATGCAAAGTACTTCTCGAAGATTAACAGGAACCCAACCCTGCGCTAACGCTTGGTGCTGATCTGCTAGAAGTCGTTCAGATATTCAAGTATCTGGGCAGGTATAATAGCACCCGTGGGGTTGAAGATGAGGTTACGAACCGTATAGCAAAACCTCAAGGTGCTTTCGCCAATCTCCGCCACCTGTGGCGCACACGCGACATTACTCTCGCCCTGCAGGACAGAGTTTACAACGCAGCCGTCCGTCCAACTCTCCTATATGGTTGTGAAACCTTTCCTCTCAGGTCGATAGACATGAAGACGCTCGTCACCTTCGATCATCGCTGCCTTTGCAGCTTAACTCATGTCTTGTGGGAGCATCGAGTAAACAATGAGCGTGTTCGGCGTCGCGTATTTCATGCCGGAAGAGCGAGTGAACCGCTCAGCACCATTACATCACGCACCAGGCTCCGATGGCTGGGCCACGTGCTGCAGATGCCAGCACACTGACTCCCGCGACGTGCATTGTTTGCGCGTTGTGGGTACGGTTGGAAGAGGAGGAGGGAAGGCCAAGTGATGACTTGGTCGAGAGAAGTTGGCGTCGTTTGGTGCATCCCGACGGCCTGGTTGGGGTACCAAGGACGGCGAACACGTTTGGTTGGACACAATTGCTGATATGGCTTGGAAAAGGCCCCAATGCCGTTTGCGTTGTGAGTTCCTTTGTCCATCCCCCGCCTGTTTAGCATCCTCCTCCAATCACGATCTCACTTGTTAGGTATAACATGATTTTCTTTCACTGCAGCCAGCTGTTATCCCTTTGGAACGATGTCCATCCGTTACTGGGGACTCAGCGGGCGTGCCACTGTTTTCCTTTCCTTGTCTTTTGTATGGCGGCACAATAGCTGAGGTGTTTTCCACCTCCAGCTAACGTGTACTGATGATGATGATTATTGGGTTTTGGAGTACAGGCCGTGAATCGGGTGGAGCACCAAAGAACTCTGGAGAGTAATTATTTTTATACAGTACTAGGGCTGCTACCAAAGCAAACCAAATACAATGACAGTAACGCTGGTCATAGCCAAACGACCAGGGCAACCAAAAGTCAAAAACTGATTGTTTCTGCACACACACACACACGGCACGTCATAGCGGGACCGGGGTTCATTCGATGGCGGGTCACCAACATATGCTGGCAGCTTGCATGCACAAGGAATATTGGACTCGGGTTGGCTTATCTCCCTTTGCTTAACCTCATAGAACACCCAGTTGGTCGTGTGCTCCATTATTATAGGAA